TCACTTAAGGACTTGTCTTGGAAGAAGTAACATAGTGGAACTATGGATGCGTGTCAGTTTCCTGACATAGTTCAAATGTTAAATGACAGATAACCTACTATCACCCAAACCAGATGGCAAAGCTGTATTGTATGATACTGTCAATGAAATCCTGCCTCTTGACAATTGAATTAGAACATTTTTTTCACAGCCATGTTGAAGGTTGCCGTTCCGATACTTTCTCTTGCACTTACATGACTCCCAAATCTTCGTTCGCGAAGCCTAGCCATGACATGACTCTACATATGTATAAGTTATGTAGAGCAAACATAACAGTGCAAGATTTGCTGCATAAAATCTTGAAGGAAATTTTCTTCTAGTCTAGGAATATATTTTTTTGATTTCTGGAATTAATTGCCTGATAGCATCTTATAAGCACAAGTCAAAAGCCTAGCCCCACTGAAGTGTTACCAGGTACTTGCTCTGTAGTGAACAGAATCCTTTTAAGATGGTGACTGCTGAGATATATTCAGTGGTCTGTGTCTCCCTTGAACAGAGAGGGAAAAAAGAAATGTCATCTTTTTACTATGCAAATTTTGCAGGCAGTTTACTGTGTTTAATGAACTGTTACAGCATATGCAGATGAACACTTCCTACCCGCTCTCCACAGATCTGGCATATGTTAATCACTTGTCCCGTATTTCTCTGCTATATAATGGCTATCTCTGCTCATAGAAACACAGTCTTCAAAACTGAAACAAGGTCCCCAGAGGCTTCAGTAAGCCAAAGGTTAAATCTATCTCCTACTGTCAGGCCAGGACATGAGAGACTGACTGGTGGTGTCTTCTCAGCTTTTAAACAAAGCCAAAGGTTAGATGGCCAGAAATAAAGTCTGCTGCCCTTTCTGTCCTACAGCGAAGACCAAGCAAGACCATTATTTCTTTTTGTGTAGGCTTTCACCTTTAGAGCCACAGAACTCACCATGGAGCTTTGAGCTCCATCTGACCACAGTGACTTTGCCAGGGTCATACTGGAATTGGGATAGTCCTACAGAAGCAGTGCAGGTAAAAGGAAGCAGGTTAAGTGGTTTCAGTGAAGTTCAACTCATTGCAGAGAAGACACAGCCATCAGTAAGGTGCCTCTTGAGGTCAGTTATGCATAACCACAGCCTTTTTTTAGATCTTCTTTTTGCTGTCTCCCATGTTAGGCATAGCACTTCCATTCCTTTTCTGTTTTTATTAATATAAAATTACATCCACACTTGTTTGTTCAAGAATATGTACTATCCAGAGCCTGTAGATAACTGCATGATAGCTTCCTGTCTCTTAGCGTAAGTAGTACTAGTGCTACATGGGTTATATCTGAGTATGAGCAAGAATATATAATATCTACATATATACCTTATACATAAAATAAGTATACATGCACATGTATACATATATAGACTGTATACACTGGCATTGCCTCCAGCAGTAATGTACTCCAGTTGTGGTCCAGACAAAATATTAAAAATATTTTAAGGAATGGTTCAATGGATTTAAGTTGCTAGCCTTGAGACTTGTTAAGCATGCATGCTTAGTGCACTGTAAAGATCAGACTGTTTATCTATCTTGAGTTCAGTCTGTAAAAATGAAAATATCCTAGACCAGTAGATGCTATTGCATGTTTAGGTCTCATAGACCTGTCAGATTTTGTAGTCAGAACCTTTGCAGATGAAGGTGCTCAAAGTCCAGATTTTCCGGGAAGCTCTTCCCTTTCTTGAACCAGTCTTAAGATTTACCTGATGAATTGGATAGGAGACCTGATTTAGTTGTAAAGAAGTCATCTACTCTTGTGTTAGGTTGGGCTTTAGTTAGATCAGCTCCACAAACCTCTGCCTGATCATTCTAGGCTGATGTAAAATAAGGTAGAAACACATGACAAGGCTTAAGAAAGAGATTTAATTCCTAGGTTGCTGTAGGATTTCACACTTACTTTCTAGTGTCTTTTGTACCTAAGAAGAACAACTTATCTTTCTCTTGATTTTCCCCCAGCCCTTTTTGATTTTACCTGCAGAACAGTGCAAGTAGATACCAAAATATTTTGCAAGATAAGAAGCACTTAACATACTGCAGAAGTGATGTAAAAAATAAATGAGATCAATGCAGCATCCCTTTGCTGTAAATCAGCTTTGGCTCAGCCTGACTAGAAGTTCTTTAACAGTATCTGGCCACTTTTTCCCCCATAAGCCTGCAAAGACCTCTGTCTTCTCCACTCTAATGGAGGTTTTGAATCTCAGGATTGTCTCTCTGCATCCTGTAAAGAAACCAGAGAGACACCTGCAGAAAATCAAAGGCAGCAATTCCTGCAGTCAAGATGGTTTTTTTAGCCTTTGCTCCCAGTCCTTGCAAAACTGTGTTATATTTAGTGATGCAACAAGTCTGACATCATAGCCCCTGCACAGGAAATAAAATCTTAGTATATTCGTGTGAGGGATGAAAGACATTGAAACACTGGAGAAGAAGTTGAAAAAAATGGGAGTATTGTTTATCAACAAAATATATCAAGCTACCTGAGTTGCCAGACCTTCAATTTCAAACTTTCTTGTGAAGTTTTCAGAGCTTTTGTAGCATCTTGCCTGATATGCTAGGTGAAACTAGAATAGTTAGGCATTTTTATAACTATTTGCTTCTCCAGCTGCAACATAAGTCAGTTTATATTTTTCATAAATTTAAAATACTGTTTTTTCATCAGCGATGGCTTTAAAGAAATACCACTAGAGGGCAAGATGACAGCTGTAAGCCATTTGAATTTTGCTGTTTCAGTCCTGCAGATGTTGAGGTTGATGAGAAATTATTTACTCCAGTGGTGCTAAAACAAACCTTAAAATTCCATTATCTTCCACAAATTCTTAAAAACTCTGCCAAAACCCTTAAATATAGAAAATAAGCTATTTTATTTAAGCTAACATGCTATGAATAACTGTCAAGTGTAATTAACAAAAATTATATACATCGTCAATCAATATTAAAAAAGCAGATACAAGTATCATATCAAATGTCCTTCTGAAATTGCCTGGAGTTCCCCAATATAAACAAACAGCAGATCTTACCAATTCTGTGATAGTTAAATAAGGTATTTCAACATATATACTTTTATATACACACATACACACATGCATCCATGCCTACACATACATTTACCTCTACATTAACAATATAGATGGAGTGCTGAGCAAATATGGAAAAGCTGATTTTGATTCCTAATACTGTTTTATTGTTCCTTAGAGCTTCAAAAAATGCTTTAAAAAATAACCTAATGCAGTCCTACAGCCAGAGGCTTTGAGCTTGTCAGATGCCATAAACAAAGCCACAGAGGTCCTGGCCAGTACTTGAATGAGAGGCCTCAGAGGCAAGAAAGGAGTCTGTGGGATGCATGTAGTTTTTGCTTTTAATCCTGCTACTATTTCAGTCTCCCACAGAAGTTCTTGTATTTCAGTTTGTTCTCATTGTGAAAGCTTTGTTTCCTTTTCTGCTTATATTTTAAAAAGAAAATTGTATACAAACAGTGGGAAAAATCCTAAATTACCAGCTCATTTTTTATTCTAAACACTACTTGCATAAGGCTTCAAAGGAAATAATAAGCAGTGTTTGAAATAAAGTCTTTAGCATTTGGCTCATTGTTAAAGGATGCTGTGGATAACATTTCAATTACCGAGTTACTGTGGCCTCCACCTGGAGCCATTTCCCTTTAATTTTGTCCCACAAATGCGCATAACTGTGATAGTACTTTTTTGTTACACTTATACAGTATTCTTTGCTTTAAAAGTCCCTAAACAGACTTCATGAGGCATACAGCACGTTGATATAGTAAAGGGGTTTCCTGCTGCAAGAACTGGGCATTAAGCCTTGGAAAAAATAAGAACTTCAACACAACTTCTGGAGGCTTCCTCCTGATGGAACACCCTAAAACTTTGGGCTCTTCTTCAATGACAGACCAGGCCTGTAACTCACGCCCATCCATACACCAACACCCTTTAAATCTCCAGCTTGCATTGTCAGGTCCAAAAGCAGTATACTTTTCTGTCTGGTGGGTCCTTGGGGCAGATCCTTTTGGCTACAAATCCAGCTGAAATCCTGCCCTTCCTCTGCACAACTCAGGTCTCAGAGGATCTCCAGGACCAAGCCTTGAGGACCAGCCAGCTCCTGCACAGCACAGACATAGGGAGGTTGCATGAGGCCCCTTTCCTATTGAAGTGACATCCCCTGGGGCTTGGAAAAATGTAACAATGGGCTGTTGAAGTGGGGTGAAAAGTCAGATGCTTCCTTTTACGACAAGGTGGACTGTGCAGTTGTTATTTGTCCCGTTTGTCTTTTCTTTTGTGGTCCGTCTGTGAGCCAATCCAACTGTTGGTAATAGCAGAGCTATCAGAGGCACAGGCAAGGGGGATGTAGGGGATATAGGGGAAAGCATCATACCTGTGATTCAAGAGGGGGAAAGAGGATCCCGTTTGTGAAATCCTGAGAGATCCTCAGTTACTGATGGAATCCTGCATGTCGTGATTGCAATGCCCCACGGGGTAATACTGGCATTAGAGACCAGCTCTTATAAGCTAGCACAGCTGAGGAGCCCATCAGTTTTGCTAGGCTTCTGTAGGACTGAGTCATTTATTTGATAGATAGTTGCACGGCTAGTATTTTTCTAAGGAGCTAGATCTGTAATGGGTGGGGTATGGCACAATTAGAAGGCTTGACTCTGCAGCAGAGGAAATTTCCCAAGTAATCTGGGGAAAAGTGTTTCTTCAGTTTCTGTAATTTGAAGTATTCTGAATATAAGTTTGCATCACCACTGTTAATCATGCATATTTGAATAGCTGTGTGCCCTGTACATTAGGTGCCTACATGGGATAGTACTATCTAGTGATGATCTTTATAGCTAGTTGAGTAAAGTATGGCTAGTTGCATTTTTCAAAAGAAGTTAAAGACTAATACCTATACACAGACACATGCACACACATATTCTGTGAGAGTTTTCCAGTGACTATTTTATTATTTTATTTTGCAAGTAATAATCTTCTTTTTGGTCCTGTTTATCCATTTATCCCATATCTGATGATCTATCTGATGCTAAATAATGCTGATCACTGGAGTTCCTGACAACAGTGCACCAGGGGAGGTGTGCTCAGGACAGCAGACCGAGAAGAGACAAGGGGTAATGAGACTCATAGGACACCTGGGTGCATTTCTAAACATAAAATTTTGAGGTTCAGAGAAAATGTTTTGTCCTTCAGGTTTTCATATTTTATAGAAAAATCAAATGGAGCATGAAAAACAGACCTTGGAAAATTAAACAAAGCCCTAATTTTCTGCAAAAAGAATGCTTCAGTAGAAATATTTTCATCAAGCTGTTAAAATTATAAACCCTGACAATTCAATATAGTGCTCTGCTCTGAATTGGAAAAATGAGTACAGATTCTTATACATTTGCATATATGCTAAAGGCGCAAGTCAGGTTCCAGCAGAAGTTTGTCTTTATGCAAGATGTCAGTCCCTTGAACTCCACTGAAAACTCCTACTCTCAGGCAAGGCCTGGGAGATCTGCTTCCAGCTCTTAATTTTCCTTTTACCTGATCTCTCTGTTAGTTAATAAGAAGCTATTTGCACTTCAGTAGTAAGATACTCCTGTCAATATTAAAATATAATTGATCCTCAAGTTCACCATTTACACTGGCAACAAAGTAAAGTGTACATTATCTTTATGATACACGTGCTTCAATTGAGCAGTGGTTTGCATCAAACATTTTCTTATGCTAATGATATCCTTGCCTTCATAATATAAAACAGTTAATTATCAATCATGACAATCCTGCTATGGGTTTGAATAGGGCATTTCATGCCTCTGTTTACTAACCCTGTTTTCAAACAGCAAACAAAAACAATGACTGGTCTCTTTTAGTTACTGTTGCTTTGGAAGCTAGTTACATGCCTTTATGTGTAAATTACTATTCTTAAAAAAACCCCAAAACCTAAAGAATCTGCGGGGTTTTTGTCCTATCTTTCTTTCTTTCTGTATTATTATTAATATGCTATGTCCAAGAGCTCTATTTCAACTTGGTAGGATACAATTCCTGAAAACTAATTAACTCATAATTTGATTTAGAGCAGGCATTTCTCAGCAGAAACTTATAATCAGAGAGGAAGGATGGTGTAATGACTAATGAAGTCTTGTTCCAAGTTCTTTACCAGTCTTCCTCAGTGACCTTAGCAAATCTCTGTGTAAATACTGTTATTCTCTTTTCCTGTGTCTAGTTTAGAGGAGTATTTTGAGAAAGGACTGTCACTGTATAGGAGAATGACTTCAAAGTGCTGCTGTCTTGACAGTATTCTTCAGATATGTTCCATGTTGCCTTTGAGTCAGTAATGGGTCTCTGGAGTTTTCCCCAACATAACCAGTGTAGAAGGGTCCAGTGTTACTTAAGGTCTTGCAAGTTAGAAAGTAGAAAGCTTGGAAAAATCTTTCAGATTCCATGATAATATAGTCTCCAGTATGAAATCTTAATGCCATATATTTGTGAATGTAGATTTTAAATGCCATTTTCATTTGGTTTGAGATGTATCTGTCTAATTCATGAGAATGAGAAGGAACTTACATGGATATCAGGTCCATGTAATTTTTTTAAATAGTTTTCATGAAACAGAAAATTTAGAACAGGTACACATCCATCCCATGACTTATCCTTTAAATACACTGTTATAAACACATCTTTACCTAACATCCAGTAATTGCCTCATTACCTCCATCCGTTGGATGAGTACAGCACTGGCAGTGACTGCTCAAGCTGCCCTGCTTTGTTCTATTGCCATCTACTCCAGGCAAATGTAGAAGATCCACCCCTAAAAAGGAGAGAGACAGCCTTCATGACTTCATACTAAAAAGCAGTGACAATTCTGCAGTGCTTCTAAATACTAAAATCCTCTATTGGAATGACATTCAAAATCACTACTTTTATTTTCATCTGTCTTGACTGGTACCAGTTGATGATAACTAACTCCACTAAAATAAGATATTTTCTCCTTAATCTTTGTATAATCAATGCAGAGAGGTAATTTCTGCCAAAGTAAAATTCAGAGCAGGACCCTAAAGTTAGGAGCTGCAAATCTCTCATGTCACTCTGCATTCCCCATCCAATTGCCAGAGGTTGACTATGCCAACAACAGACTTACAACTCATCCCACCAGTCTCCCTACAAGGCCTGGAAGTGATTACTTTTTGGCATTCTTCTAAACTACCTGAAAGGAGGTTGTAGTGAAGTGGAAATTGGTCTCTTTTCCGAAGAAGCAATTGTTAGAATGAGAGGAAATGGCCTCAAATTGCCTCAGAGATGTTTAGATTAGATGTTAGGAATTAAATCTTCACTGGAAGGGTTGTCAAGCACTGGAACAGGCTGCCCAGGGAAGCAGTTGAGTCACCATCCCTGGGGGTATTTAAATCATAGAATAGTTTAAATTGGAAGGGACCTTTAAAGGTGCAACCCCCCTGCCATGAGCATGACATCTTCAACTAGATCGGGTTGCTCAGGGCCCCGTCCAATTCGACTTTGAATGCTTCCAGGGATGGGGTATCTACCACCTCTCTGGGCAACCTCTGCCAGTATTTTACCACCATTGTTTTGAAAAAGTCTTCCTTATATCTAATCTGAATCAACTCTCTTTTAGTTTAAAACTCACAAAGTTTGTTCCCATCTTTGTTGTAGGCCCACTTCAAGTACTGGCAGGCTACCACAAGATCTCCCCAGGGCTTTCTCTTCTCCAGACTAAATAATCCCAAGTCTTTCAGCCTCTCCTCATAGGAGAGGTGCTCCATCCCTCTAACCATATTGGTGACCCTCCTCAGGATTCACTCCAACAGGTCTATGTCCTTCTTGTGACACAGATGTGGTACTTAGGGACATGGTTTAGTGGGACTTGGAAGTGTTAGGTTAATGGTTGGATTCTTAAAGGTCCTAAAGATCTTTTCCAACTAAGTGGTTCTATGAATTTATGATTCTGAACCCACAAGGTTACAGTTCTCTTCCCAGGAAACATCTGTACAAAAGAAAAGTTATATGAGTAATGTTGGTCTTGAGAATGCACTTTTTCATTTCCACCTCCCAAAACACTTCAGCAGAGGAATGCTGGTACTTTTTTAATATTCTTGAGCAAAGTATTTGATTTCTCTGAGTATTGCCCAGGACACTGATACAAAGAAGTTATGTATTGTTATAGGATTGATATATTTTAATTTTACCCAGATATTCTGAATTTGTAATGCAAGACAAATAATGTCCAAAGCAAACAACAGTACTTATTTTAAAAAAATGCCCAATAAATGCTATTGTAAATATCTAATAACAGACGAGCGACAAATATTAAAGAAAACCATGGGTTGATCCTAATCTTGTATCTGGAAGTCATCTAGCTCACAAGCCATAGACACTAACAGTTACGTAGTCCATATGATCCATATGATGTAGAATTTTCATACAGTATCTACAAACAGGTTGCATTCATGAGAGGTGATATATTAATGATGGACTGGGGAACAGCAAATGCATTTCTGTTTAATTTTCCTTGATGTTGCCCACAAGGGAGCAGGAAGGGACTGAGACTGGGGTTTTCACTGAGATTTCTCCCTCCTTTATGATTCCTGATTCTAAACTTACTTAAGAAGGATGTTGATCCTCATAGACTGCTTTTCTTTGTATGGAAATGTTAATGCCCCTTTTACAGTCATCGCTCAGTGGTAAACATGGCTTGTTTAGCATGGCTTGTCTAAGCTGCTAGCAAATCTTTACTGTAGTGAGAGGTAAAATGCTCTTCCTACCCTGGCATTTTGTAGAATTCATCCCAAAACCATTCTATACAGGGCACCTTATATTTACTGCAAAAATATATCAACATAGGATTAGAGCTGCATCTCATTACTATTGCTCTCTTGAGACTAGAGGATTTGATAATCATTTTGGGATGGCTGATTTCCAAAGCTTGTCCCTAACCAGTACAGTGATACTACTGCATATACATAGACATGCTCATTCCCTGCCCAGCAAACAGCTCATTCACTGCCCAATACACTTCTTTGTTAATTAACCTCAAATTTCTTAAGAATCCCTTTCAATTTGCTACTACAAAATACATGAAGCTTTCAGAAGTCTGGGTGTTAGATTGAAGCATGTGACATACAAGCATCAGGCACTGGAGACAACAGCTTAAAGTTGTAATGATCGTAATTACTGTTCCTTTCTCAAATAAGAATTCTTTATTCCTGTTTAGGATCTATGTGCTCACATATTTCACAGAAAATATTTTGTTGGTCTTTGAACTGCAAACTCCTCGGGTCTCCATGGGAACATACATTAAAGGATGAAACTAGATGTTCTTGTGAAAGCTGAAATCTGCAGGCATTGAAAGACTTCATTCCTAAAAATATGCCTCTTGATCTATTGTGAATCAGCTATCTCAGTTTATCCACTCCCCGCTTAATGCACTAATAAAGAAAAAATTCCAAATGTACTAGAGATTTCTTCAACAGCACAACAGAGTAGACAGCATTAAGTTATTCTTTTGTAAGCATTAGCTACAGAAACTTTGAAATTCAGAAAAAAGTGACCTTCAGCTTACTATTCCCAGCAAAGGAATGAATGGCATCCTGGGTATAAGAATATATTCACCTCATCCACATTTAAGGCCTCTTTTCACTTCAATGAGCTTGGTAGAATAGTCAAGGATTTTTGTATAAATTATCTCATTTTGTTCCTCTTCCAGGGACTAGTACTTACTGTTCTAGGCGTAATTTTTGACTTCCTCAGAAGAAAGGAAATTCTAAAGTGTTTGAAAAGTATTTACCATATTATGCTTGTTGTCACAAATGAAAAGTATGCCTGGATGCACCTTATCAGGCGAAACATACACAAAACAGTTGTGCATGCTGACGATGAGGGAGCATCAACACGCTGAATGTCAGAAAAAAGGGAAGAAAAAGTGTTACCCCACAATAATTTCTGTCAAATGATAGGAAACAAAATATATATCCCAGATTTTCTCTTTTGGCCTGTGTTTGACCAGAAGCCACTGCATAGAAAAGGTGCTGAGTGACACAGAGTCTTAGGGGAAAAGCCGAAATGCTGAGAAGCAGAAGCAGAGAAACTTTCCATTCTAGCATGTTCTGGAGCTTGTAAAAAATGTAATCAGAGCCTTTTTTCACTGTGGATAAAAAGATCTTTGAGAAGTGTGTACTCTGGTTATATTTTGCCTCTTAACGATACACCAGGACTACTTAATTGCTCCAGCTGCCTAAAAACAATCTGCCTTCCCAGCACAACATTAAAATCACAGTGCTCCTCCTAAAACAAAAGGCCTGACAGTTTTAGAACATATTAACTTTACACATATCCTTTGATTGTTTCTAGTAGAGATTAAAAAAACAAAAAGCTACATCTGTGGAAAGAGCTGAGATCTCTGTTAAGATCCCTATCCAGAAGTTTTGTGCTTATTTAATGCCTAAACTTGGTAGCTAGCTTTCACAACATCATTATCAAAGACATAGACAAGACATCATGTATGGCTTTCTTGGAAAGCTTTCTGCAACAGCATCATACTTTTTGAATTGTAAATAAAGATATAAGCAAACAATATACAGATAAATGAAAAATATTATTATTTTAGGTATCTGACAGAACGCATCTTTTTTATTTCCAAGTAGTAAGTAGTGAGGTTCAAATCCAAGTGCATGAAGACCAAGACAACACACAGGACTGAAATCAGAACCTTAGAAATATTCGGTTTCTCATGCTGGTTTTTTTGAATGACAACAATATACTTTCCTGACATTTAATGGCTGCTTTCCTAACTGTACCTCCTACTTCCATCTTTACCCCATGGAACATATTTTGAGTCTAATATGTTATAACAATATTGTTTCAAATTAAAAGGTTCTGCTTTAATCTAAAATCTATCTTAAGAGACTCTTATTTGTGGTGATGTATTTTCTTCAGGTCTAACTGCACCACATTTAGTTTGATGTTTTGAAATATGATTCACATCACCTTTGCACAGTTAATGTAAGATAGTTTTATAGTTCATCAGCAATTAGAAAACAGAAGGACATAGGCCTATATTAACAAGTAAGTGATGCAAGTATGAAGCAGTGTCACCATAGCAACTCGGCTTGCACACAGAATGCTGTATTTAACCTTGTGGAGCTCTTTAAAACTCCTCGTTACTGAAATAAGTAAACACTATGTGGTAATGGGGCTGTGTCTTCAATGCTATAGAATTAGATTTATCCTAGAAACATGCAATTGCTTTGGCCCAATATAACTTCTAAGAAACCGATAATGTATGAGCACTCAAAGAGACATGCCTCATGGAAATCATGATTTTCTTTTATAAGTGTGCGAGATTCCTTGCTCTTTTGGAACTTGGAAGGAATTATCTGTAGAGCTTATTGCAGTAAGAGAGAAGCATCTTAAGCAGGAAAATATTCCTAGGAATGACTTTTAGATTTTTATTCAATTTTCTTCTTGCTAGTCCACACACATGCTTCTATCTGCACAGTTACTGTGAGCTTTGTCAGCAAAAGGCAAAAAACATACATGCTTTCATATTTCTCTTGTGGGTTTGAATTTTCAGGCTTCTAAACTAGCCATGTGGATGGCATTATTTAGAAATGTGAATCTATATGCCCTCAAGTCAGGTAAAAGTCATGTGAATTAGCTTCGCTAGAGGGTCATGCTGCTTGTCAAAAAAGCTCTAGGCGGGGAATTTTTGCAAAAAAAATTATATTTCAATAACTTTTGGTAAGAAAGATAGGAGTTTTAGAGGTGTGAGATCATAGGATAAAAATGAATTCTTAG